AACAGCAGCAGCAGCAGTAACAGCAGCAGCAGTAACAGCAGCAGTAACAGCAGCAGTAACAGCAGTAACAGTGTTTCCTGTGTTGTTGTTGTAAAACATAAACCCTGCACCAACAGACCTGACCTCAGGTCAAGGTCATTTATCAAAGCATTTTATATCGTTTATAGTTAAAAAAACATAGTATTTTATTAGAGAAAAACAACATTGTTTTCATCTTATTTTGGTGTGAATTTGAACGGCTTCTCGGCCAAAACAAAACGCTGAATTATTTACAGTAGTCAGAGTACTATTGTACTGTAGTACAAGTACACTGTACAAACTGTATATGGAGTTATGGTTATTCATAACTAGTGGTAACTAGTACTCACCGTTAGTGTTGTTTGTTCGTCGTTTTGTTCGGCTCTTTCCAACAGGTTCAGCCCGTTGAACCGCAGGTTTTCCAGGCAGCCTTGGAAGTTCCGGGTGTGGATGACGGACCTGTGGGAGGTGTGGCTCTGGACGGCCCCCACACTCAGCTGTTTGAAAACACAAAACCACATCGTGACCGCGGCTGCTGCTGCTGCAGGTTCAACAGGACAGGAAGTGCTCTCTCTCTCTCTCTCTCTCTCTCTCTCTGTCCGTCACCTGTTCGATGTCCCAGTGGTTGAACTCTGCGGGGATTTGAACCCTCTCTGTGTGTGTGTCCACGGTGAGGTTGAGGCGCGAGCCTCGTCTCTCCAGTGCCACGTGGTGCCAGTGTTGGTCATCCAAGAGGCTGCCCATGGAGACCAGGAGTCGAGAGTCGGACGAGGACGTTCCTCCTGGAAGAGAAGACATCGGACGGTCAACCCTGTCTCCTTCACGCCTCCTTCCTGCGGTAGGAAGAGTGAAAACAGCCAAACAGAAGCGTCATTATTCAGAGATAATCTGTGATTGTTTTCAATTTCCCACAGACAGGTCCACACGGAGGGCGTCCATGTGCATACCCACACCGTGGGCCGCAGCCCAACGTGAAGAACCCCAGAGGAAACACAGCATTAATGAAAGATGAGCAGCAGCAGCAGCAGGTCTGAATCAGAGGACACGTTTTCTTAGTACCATCCCAGAGAACCGGGAGAAGAACTGTTGGAAAAAAAGCGGCTCATTAAAAATGTATCAGCCGTTCTTCAGGGAGAGACAAACCCGGGCTGGTGGAGACAAACAGAGACGTTTGTGGGGATGATGGACAAATGAATCTTTGATATTTTCACTCAGTTTGTCAGATGACATATTTGCAGATCAAATGAGTAGAAGTTGTTCTGAAGAGCCAAAGTTTTCGGCTGCGCAGTGATGAATTATTCAATTATGGAGACGCTGAGTGGAAAAAGACGGCGTGAGACTAAAAAACACATGATGTGACTGGAGTGGCATTGATTAATGGAGTGATTATCATGTTGATGAAGCTGAAGGAGATCAGCAGAACGCTTTATGATTGAGCTTTTTCGCTGCGGATGGATGATTTGATTTGTAGTTGGAAAAAAAGAAGAAGCAAGGATCAATAGTGAGGATCGAAGAGCAAACAAAGAGAAAATGAACTGACGGTCGTGTTGGGAGTGCCCCCCCCACCCCTCTCTTCTTTTTCCCTCCTCTTTGCTGTGTCTTGTTTCTCCTCTTTGGTGACGAGGTTCAAGAGGATCAGAAAAATAATTATCTTCAAACAGTAAGAGTTTCTCCCCAGGACCAATCACAGCTCTGTATCCTTAACGGCAACATTTGGACAAAGTTCATTCTTCAGTGGGGTCATCACAAGGTCAAAGGGTAAAAGTCAAACTGTGTCAATTAAACTGCCTTTTTTCGGGGGAGGGGGCTGGAGGAAAAAATCACTAAACTGAAACATCGTGATATTTAGTTTCCTGATATCGTATCAATATCCTCCATCACTGTATTGTGGTGTTGAACACAGAGCAGCAACACTGCCCCCTGTGTGAAGCCGTGATGTCAACGAGTCCTTGAGCAAGACTTGATTTTTAAACCCCGATGGGGAGTGGGTGCGGGGCGGGGGGGGAGGTCAGCCCCAATCAATAAGTCACTTCCTGATGGGTGTGTGAACGAGCGACAGAAATATTAAGGAGCGGCCGGTGAGCACATGTGACACGTTAAAAGATTAGTGTCCTGCCGGTACAGCAGGGGGATCAGGAGGTCACGTGAATCAAATTATGTTTTATCAGCGGAGCAGCGGGGTCACGGAGAAGTTCAGACCGCGGTCGTGAATCAGAACGACTGAGGAAAGTCTTCAGTCCGGCACCGGTGAGCTGAGTCAGTGGGATTTAATTTAGGTAACAGATTAAAAAAAATGCAAATCTGTAGAAGTTTAACAGCGAGGTGAGGGTCAAGGCGCTGAGCCGCTCATTTCTGCAGCCTCTGCTGAAACACGGTGATTCCATTTTTAAAATTCCCACTGTATCCTATCCCGTTTTAAGGAATGTGATTACACAGGAACGGAGTGACGCTCCGGTCCTGGAGCTGCTGCAACAGCTCAAAATGTCATAAATGGCCTGTGAACACATTAGTGATGAGGATATGTTGGTTTCAGCAGAATTCTTTTCCATCAGACGCCTGCGACGGCGGGTCGAAAACTCCAAGACAAACAGAATAAAAACAAAAATCTTCTTCCTTCTTGTCTCCGTCTGCTCTCTTCTTCTTCAGTGGTGTTTTCTTCTCTTTAGAATTCTGGAGGATGACCTTTGACCCCAGATCACAGCCTGCTTCTGCGTCTGTTCTAAGAACTGAAATATACTTTACTGTATATATTAGAAGATGGCAATTCATCTGATTCTGTTCAAGCTCAGGTTAGAATGATATTTTTACGTTATTCAAATTATTTACTTTTGAAAGTTGAGAACCTGGTCAAAGTCAACGCTTGACAAAAAATATAATAAAGGCTCTCGTCCTCGCTGCTGAGAGATTTGCTTTAAAATAATGACTAATCTCTGAATGAACAACTTTTTCATTAGAATGTTTTTCACTGAGCCTCGAATTTAAAGACTCGATATAAATGGTTTTTATTGACTTTCTTCAGTTTCAAGGACTGGTTTGTTCAGGTTCTCTGCTTTTTCTATCACAGCTGAAAATCCAGAGCGGTGGGGGAGATGGGGGGGTGCAGGTAATTCAACGCTCACAGTTGGACGTGAATTACGTGTAAATGTGAGCGTGAATAATTGTGTTTCACGCCCGGTCAGCTCCGTCCTGTCATCTGTGCTCACCTGAAGGTTCTTTGAAGCACATCAACAGATGATTCAGGACAAGGACAGAAATATTTGACTCCAAACTCAGGATCACCTGATTATCGACATTTGACCCTGAAACCGTTGACACGAGTGTCACGTGTGTTTGTACGTGATTTACTGATGAGTTCGTGTCTGATTTGCTGCCTGCATTCACAGACCAGCAACTCTGTCCTGCCGTCACCACGCAAGTCTTATACAGAATCAAGACTAGGAGCCACACGAGTCCACAAGTCTTATACAGAATCAAGACTAGGACAAATTAGGAGAAAACAAAGCAGGAAAAAAAATCAGAATTAAAGGAAAAAAGTGAGTGATGGAGTCAATGAAATTCTTTGTCGACGATAGTGAAAAATGAGCTGAACTTGGATTATGATTCACGGACTGACGGAGCCAAAGATCATGGAGAAGTTGTATTAATCCAAAATCAGCAAAATTACGCCACCTACAGGAGCCCAAAAGTGGCACACACTGCATGAGGAGCGCTCTCCTTGAGGACTGTGGACTTTTTGTTAAGGTAGATGTTTTTCTCCACGGGTTAATTGTGCATCGATCTGTTAGTAATGCCTGAGCGCTGCTGCTGTAGCAGTAGTGAAATGTGTTGTCTTTATATTACCACCCAGTTATCTTCACTCTGTTTATCTGACCTTCCTCCCCCTCTCTGTTCACACCTGAACCTGATCTGTGGACTCAGCAGAGCCGACTACAGCGTGGGATCAGGGTCAATGCACCCACCACTGATTTGTCATCTAATTACACAGTCTATATGCTGAGAAGCCAATGTGGAGAGACACGGAGGGGGGGGGGGGGGGGGGGGGGGATGGGGCGCGAAAAAAAAGAGAAACTAGAGGAAACTGCTGAAGAGTTGAAGGAGCTTAAACTCAGAAGAAAAGACGAAACGAAAACAACAAGAGAAAAAAATTCAAACGAAAAAAGAAGAGGAAAGAAAGAGCTCGGTGTGAGGTGAAGAAAAGAACAGAGGGTGGAACGTTTGACAGATGAAGAGGAGGAAGAGGAGGAAGAGGAGGAGAGAGGACTTTTACACTGTCAGCGCAGCATTAACATCTTCATCATTAATATTTAATGTCCTGTTTATAAGACGTAAACAGGAAGTCCAAGTTGGTAAGAAACTGCAGCCACACACACACACACACACACACAGAAAACATAATGGTTATTTTAAGGAGTTAAAACTTTCACAGAGAGACTTCCATCACCTTGGACGGCCCTGATCCTAAACTACTGTGTAACCGTGATTAGACTTTTGTCAATAGCCCTTTAACGCCCGTATTCTAACCCTCATTTAACCAACACTTACATTTTAGCTCCATTATTAACCAGGGTCACAGAAATCAGGTTCTGTCTCATTAGGTTCTGTTAGCCACAAGAACCAGTGGACCTGAAACACACACACACACACACACACACACACACACTTGGAACCATCCATCACGGCTGTAATGAGACGGAGTCGCAGCAGCAGGAGTGTGAGCCAGGATTTCAACCAATCAGGTGGCGGCGTGAATCTCCACCATCTCCTCCGACCAAAACCAATTTAAAGTTATTTCACCGGCTTTTGTTTTGTCCTTCAGCTGATGCAGCACGGTGACCCCTACAGGCAGGACACGGGAAACACATCCACCACCTCACCCTCTGACTGCAGCTAATTACCCCCACAAACATCCCCCGAGGAGACAGTCTGACGACCAGGGCCTTTATCTCCTGCTAAAAGGCAGCGCACTACCACTAGAGGGGGACGTCAACATCTCCCAGAAGCCCCTGGGGTCTGCTGGAGTTCCTACCTTTGTTGATCAGCAGCTGCAGCGTTCCTCTCTGCAGCTCCAGACTCAGACCCAGCCCTCGCTGTCCCTCAGCCAGGAGCAGACTCCCAGCATTCCTCCTGGTTTTAAACTTGACCGACAGAACGTCCGTAGACGAGGTCCGTGATCCGGCACTGGCTCGGTGTATCAGACCACTGCTGTCACTGTTGAGACTCACCACATCAGAGGCTGGAGGGAAAAAAAAAATGTAAATTTGGTTATGACACCAGAAAAATGTCTGAGAAATTCAGCTGCCACACATTTTTATTGTCAAATAATCTGGGGTTTTCTACAAAGTTTCGCAGCAGAACAACTGAGCGAATCGAAGAACATCTGACTGTTGAGTCAGAATGCTCTGGTGTTCTTCCTGAGTCTAATCACGGAGATCGAACTCACTGTAGGGACATCCGTAGGCCTCCAGTCGGAGTCCGATCCGCCCGCTGAGATTCCAGTCCAGGGGGAGGAGGCGGAGGAATCGAGCCACCGCCGGCTGCTGCAGCTTGTACTGAACCACACTGTCAGCGTTACTGTTCCCTGGAAAAGCCTGGGAACACACAGGTGTGGGGGAAATATTGACCAACATCTGCAGCACACGGATGGGGCTGATGAACGACCCAGTATTTCACAGAGTCAACACTCCTACAATCTGCGGTACTGTCTGTGGTGGTACAAGTTCCAGAACCAGAACCGCCCCGACTCCAGCAGCACCGACCAGAGCTGTGAAGAACCTGAACAAAAGCCGACTGTTTCGTGGTATTTCAGACACCGACTGTCACCAGGTGAAGACTAACGACGCAACAGGACGACCCGTCCTCGTCCGGTCGTGGTTCTTGTCCCTGATGTAGTTCTAACAACCACATGGTTCAGAGACGTTCTTCTTGTTCTCAGGTTGAGCGATGAGCCGCCTGCTCACCAGAACAGATATAAAGTGATAAAAGGTTCCCCCTCTCCAGCTCTAACTGTGGGCTGATTGGCTGATGGATGGTGGTTTTTCCATGTCTCCCATCTGCCTATCCATCCTAATTACATCTCTCCCCCGATGTCGACACGCAGGTTAACTGTCTCTCCCATCGCTGGGTAAAAGCTCGGAGACGTAATTAACTCGTTAATGCCTCTGGAATGGGGCGAGAGGAGCTGCCTTCCTCAGAGGACAAGAAGGAGGAAGAGGAGGAGGAGGAAGAGGAGAGAAGCTGTTATCTAATGAACACGTTCTTAAGAGGAAACAATCAACATGAATCCAAGGGCGTGTGTGAAAGACATCACTTCACTGTCACTAAAAACAAACAGACCTCACTCTGCTCTACTGGTGTCTCCATCACAGGATGGAGGATGGAGGATGACCTTTGACCCCCAGGTCACAGTCTACTTCTGAGTCTGGTCTAAGGACTGAAAATCACTCCCTTTAAATAAACAATAAAAAACTCCTGGTCCATTTAAGAGAAAGAAAAGTCACGACGGAGACTGGAGGTTGATCTGGAATAATGAACCAGGTGGATCAGTCAAAGACACGGCTTCCTACGAGTCTGTGCTGGTCTGTGAGAATTTTCTACAATGATGAAAAAGTGTCTTTTGGTGTTGATGGTTGGAGACCCATGAATGCAGCATCTTAAGAAACACAGTTTTAGTGGGAAAACAGAGAGAGAGAGAAACATAAATTTGTATCATTTTTCCACATCTTTTCAGTCCAAGCCTCTGTTCACTGTAACCATGTGAGGCTTGGTCGTTTTCTGCATTTATTTTACACTGCTTTATCGAACTTGGTCGTTTTCTGGGGCAGTCCCTGCATTTATTTTACACTGCTTTATCGACAGGGGGCAGCTGTTCGGTCTTTAACAAGGTACGTCTCCATTTCAGTGTTGTTTGTCTGTCAAATCCAATGTTGGTTTTGAAAAAAGACTTTTGAAAGAGTGAGCCTAGCGCTGTAGACAAATGGAAATCAGAACGCTGCGGCGACATCGTTTCTTTCTTCAGTTTGAGAAGAAAAAGACGAGTGGGAAAACAGAAAGTTCCTGTGAAAGGCTGAGGCCCTTACATTTCCTTTGAAAAGCCCCCCCCCATCTCTGAGTAACACACCGTCAGAAGGTTCAAAAAACACTTTGAAAAGTGACGCCTTATGTGAAACATCTCTCCCAGAAGATCCCGACGCTGAGATTAGCTGGAGTCTCCCTTTAAGAGGACGTCTAATCAAAAGCTTCTCTCTGAACTGCTGCACCGTTACGGCTTCAGCACGGATGAAGGTTTGAACTCACAGCAGGATAATGAGACACGCGGGAGCCTGAGAGTGCAGGTAGGCAGCGCAGATTAAAGATGGAGGTAGAAACGCCGCCACCTCCGATGTTTGACTAAAACACCACGGACTTTTGTCCTTGTCTTTTGTCCAGACCGCTCTGTCCCACTCAGTGCACATCAACCAACAGCAGCTGAAGTGTTTTGGCAACAGGTCCACACAGTCAGCAGAGCTGCATACATTATTAATGAAGCGTCAGAGGCTCCTCACGACTGTGATTATCTCAGCAGGACTGACTGATCCCTGCAGGCCATCGCCAATAAACACCGTGTAAAAGGAGCAGACTTCATCATCATCATCATCATCATCGCTACATTTACACCTGCTGTCGATGTGACTCCATTTGTTTGGAAATAATTCACAGCAGCAGAAAAGGAAACTGCACTCATCAAAACAACAGCCAGAATCAGTTTAAAAAAAACATATTTAAAACGTATTTATTTGGAAAAAACAAAGCTACGGATTTGGGATTTTTATCTTTTTTTTTAAATCTGTGCACTTGTCTGTTGGTAATAGTGTGTGTGTGTGTGAGACACCAAGCAGAAAAATACTTTCTGTATGAGCACAGAGAATATTTCAGTCTAAAAGGAAGCAAATATTTCTGACTTTAAACTGTAGCTGTGGTCACAGTGAAAAATAAAAAACATGATGTTTTCTTTATGTTTACCACAGTCAGATGAACAGAAAGTGAGCAGAGCTTTGTCAACAACAGGATATTTAAATCAGTTGTAGTGAGGTTACTGGCTAAAAGTGTCTGACTAAAGAACCTGCTGATGTCGGACGATACAAATAAGAATAAACCACCGGACGCTGTTGTGCTGTAATTAATAGAATAAGAACAAAGAAGGTCCAGAACTAGACTGGTGGTTCGGACTCACCCCGAGACTGTCCTCCTGTCTGTACTGCTTCCAGTTGTGTCCCGTGTCACTGAACATCAGCAGGTACGACCTCAGCCAATCAGAGCTGCCGTAGCGCCCCTGGGTGGCCACGGCCGTGATCCTGGTCCTCTCACCCAGGTCCACCTCCAACCACTGGTACCTGTCTGAGGTGAGAGGAGACCAACCTCCAGCTCCTGCAGAGAGAAGGTGGAGAAAATGTTGATTTGTTATCATTTAATCAACAAGAAATGAAACGTAGCGTGTTTTCTTCTGCCCCGTTACCAGCTGTGGTGACATCACACTCGTGTTTTCTTTTGCACCGTTACCAGCTGTGGTGACATCACACTTACAGATGGTCACACCTCACACCTTAAAAGTTTAAGGTTTCATTAAACTTTTTTCTGAATCCAGAATATTATAACAATATTAAACAGTTTGGATGTTAGAAAATAATAAAAATGAGGAATTGCAGAATGTGACAGAGGAGTATCTTCTAGCGGTCTAGGCCTGGGACAATATAGATGTTCAGGCTCTGAGTCAGTTTTTTTTCAAATGTGAAAATGGACTTTAAAAAAAAAGAAGCAAAAATTCACAATTTCCTTTGTTGACAACTACAATGGATTTGGAGACAGAGCTTTGATGAAAAAGCTAAAAGATAAAGTGTGAGGCGTCTGCTTTCTTGTGTCCAGCGTCCAGAGAAAAGAACCAGGAGAGAACCAGCGCCGACCGTTTCTAATGTTCATTTCTGTGACTCTGATCAGTGGAACATCTTCAGCTGTAAAACCCTGACACGCTCATTCATAAAGTCCCGTCTTTGACCCCAGTGCTGTAAAGCTGTAAAACCTTTATTACATTTCCCCCAAACACCATCAATACCAGCTGCTGTGACCAGCATTCATTAGTTCCACATAAATGCCAAACCATTTCCCGTTTTTTTTTCCCCCACCCTCTAAATATAGCATTGCTACGAAGCTATGCCCTGATCTATTGATTTATTTATTTATTCTACAATTTTCTCTCAACTCCTAAACCTCCTCGCTACATAAAACACCACCGATAAGAGACTGCTGCGCTGCGCATCGATTTGTTTGACTGTACCGCCGCTGCTTCTTCTCCCAGGTTACACCGCGGCACTAAAGAGCACCCCGTCACGGACGGTATCGATCTGCTGCGTTCAGGGTCTGTAGGCTGAGAAAATAAAAATCAAATATGTGTTGATTAGTTGTTGTGGTGGCGGTTTATCTATCATTGACGTTCACTTGGCCCTGACATCACTGACCTGCTGCTGACGCTCATTAGCACGACACGTGTCACGAGGTGAAGGCAGGTGTGGTGGAAAAAAACTAAATTAAAACCGAAGGACAAGACGTAGATAAAAGAATACGTTTTATACTGGGTCATCACTTCTGCTGGTCAGGATTGGGATTACATCTGAACATGCAGCGGGATTCAAACCTAGTTCTTTTTGATTGTAAAACATAGATGTTTTACATCTTTTACAAAAATGTACAAAATCTTTTACAAAAATGTAGAACCACAGATCTTTTTCTGCACATTTGAAATGAACAACAACAATGAATCTGCAGAGTTTTTGGTTTGAAACCGGAGCAGCAGACGCTGCACTGTTGGTTAAAAAACAGTTTGAATCTGAGGAGAAAAATCTTTGTCCTGAATCTGTCGCCGCCGCCGCCGCTGCTCCGACTGTCCCCGCCGGCTCCTTCAAGCAGTGCAGGACCCCAGTAA